AGACCTAAAAGAGGAAACAACAGAAAGGAAGGCATGAATTTGTGGAAAGTGGCTTAGATATAAAACAGAGTGAAGGAAGACTAGAAAGTGAATATGAAGCATCCCTTATAGAGCTCCAACTGGTAAGAGGGCCCAGTCTCAACACTTCTTGAATCATTAAGGGAAAACTTCCAAGTCAACATATATCAAGTGTTGCCTTCTCACGGACTAGTTAGGGCTGTAATATTTTCCTTCTAATTCACTCACCTGAAAATAGATCTTTTCTCTTATCTCCTTTTCCCAGCCAAGGCTCTTTCCCTTCTTCCAGTAAGGAGACTACAAATGGCTTAGAAATGGAAAGACCTGCTCACACAAAATGAAATAAATTTAAAATAACTTTTTAATCAATGGGAAATTCAATGGGGGGGAAGAGTTTCTTGAAAAAGGATCAAGTCTAAGTATTTCAAAAGTTGTCGTTGTTGTTGTTAAGTGCCGTCGAGTCGCAGGCAACTCATAGCGACCCTATGAAGGAGAGTCCTTGAAGCTTGGGTGCCTTTCATCCTCTCTCCAGGTTCACAGGGTTTCCGGAGGCAAGCTATTATGGAAGTGGATGCCACTCCTCCTTCCACGCTTGTTTAATTGGGGCAGGTAAAAATCTTCATCTTAAATGCTAATAGAAAACAAAACCATACTTTCCTTGGGAATATCCATCCAGGTAAAATTCACAACCACCACCTTGAGGGGCAAATGCTGACTCGGGGGACACGAGGTGTAATACTTACCCAGTGAGACCAAATGGCCATAGATTTCCAGCATTACACATCTGTACAGGTCCCTCTGAGCAGGCTGAAGCCATTCCCACTCCTCCTGTGAGAAATCTATGGCCACATCTCTGAATGTCACTGACCCCTGAAAAGACAGGCAAATAGCACCACAACTAATCAGGATGACGACATGAGCTCATCGGCAAGGCGACAGCATGTGTAAGCAGTGACACTGAAAGACTTCTGAATCCCGAGTAATGCTGGCCAATTAACTATGGTCTAGCAGAGCGAAGTTCGTTTGTTTTGCTCTGTAACTGTGGAGCAGTGGAGTTAGGGCTGTAGAGTTAGGGCACTGCACTGACCCAAAGACTGCACCTCTCTGGTTGGTCACACCCAGAGGAGGGTGAGCTCTGAGTCAGTGCTGACTTAGTGGCACTGAGTTTGAGATTTTTTTTTTATTTTTTATTATTTGTGTGTGTGTACCGTCAAATCTGATCTTACTGGTACAGGAGGAGATTGTTCCTCCTTCTCCAGCAGAGCATCTGGTGGATTTGAACTGCGCACCTCTGGGACTGCAGTGCAGCTTCTTGCCACTAAGCCACCAGAGCTCGTCGAGTTTGAGATTTTTTTTTTGAGTGTTGTTACATAATGAGAGGATAAAAATATGATTTCTCATGAGATCACATAACTTTCTGAGAAGTAATGATTTATGTACAAGAACAACACAGGCTTCTGGTTTTGATTATGGAAAATCTTTTGACCCAACAGCAATGAGCTTTGAATGAGGGAATGTAATAATTTACAGGGTGGAACTGAAAAGATTTTGCCTCAGATTAGGGATAATAATACATAGAGATGATTCATCTTTACAACAAGAGTTTAACCCACTAGAATGATGAGACTTGAACAACAAAATATTCCAAACTAGTAATAAACCAGAGAGCTCTTGGAGGTCTGGTTGTTAAGGAGGTGCACAGCCAACCCAAGGACTCCCCAAACTGCTCTTCAGGAGACGATGGTCAGTCTTTTCCCGTGTCATTTACAGGGTGTGAAAACCTGTGAGAAGAGTTAGTGATGAATTGTTCCAACTTCCTGTCAGTAAGCCTGGTGAGGTTTTTTGTGTTTGTTTTTTTTTAACTAATAACCCAAGTGTATTGTTCTTTTGAACATTTAAAACCATTTAAATGGGATCAAAGCTTGTTGACACACAGTTTCCTAATCTACACAGTGAGATCTGCAGGAGAAGTGGAAAGCTGAGTCTGCAGCAAAACCTGGGAGAGGCCTGGAACCCAACGGGTCTAACAAAAGGCAGGACAGGGAAGTGGAGCTCACACAGGGATCAATTTAAAAGAGTGATTTCAAATCTCATTCCATCCCTGCCAGAGGTACTAAGGAGTGAGGTACACTAACCTATCAGGCAGGTAGTTCCAGCAGAGAAAACAAAATGTTCTTTGCTAAGGAATGTTAATGTCATTTCTGGAAAGTAAGCTGTGTGAGTTGGCAGCCGCAGATCTGAGACCCAGGAGGGCAGCAGCCCTGTGGCCCCAGGACCCAGGTGGGCAGCAGCCCTGTGACCCCAGGACCCAGGTGGGCAGCAGCCCTGTGACCCCAGGACCCAGGTGGGCAGCAGCCCTGTGGCCCCAGGATCCAGGTGGGCAGCGGCCCTGCGGCCCTGGGACCCAGGTGGACACAGCTCTCATATCACACACGTGGGGGGTGGGGGGGCTGTGAGCGCACTCCTGGGACTCCCCGAGTGTCTGTGCTGGAAAGTAGGGATCGGGGTTCAAGAGCACTGATTTCTGCCAAGTTCTCGGGTGACTGTGATGCAGCTGGTCAGAGATACACCCTGCAGACCATTGACACTGACCAGGAGGGACAAGGAGAGCATGCGTGGCCTGGTCTGCAGACCCTCACGGCGGTTCCTGGGCCGCGCCCACCGCTGCAGCCTGGAGGGTCTTCCTCTCCCCGCTGACCCTCCACTTAGTAAAGGCCGAACACTCCTTATTAGTGTGTTGAATAAACCTCTGCTAACGTGAAAGAGAGACAGAGCGGTCCTCGCTCTGATCCTGCAGAAAAAGGGGCGACATGCACGAGGCCGACCTGTCAGAAGGCCACCACGTCGCCAGCATCTTCTCAGACGTCCGAGGTGAGAAGCGGGACGCAGTCCCGGGGTTCTGTCTCGGGAGGATGTCACCTTAAATCCTAAAGACCATCGCCTGCGGGAGCAGCACCAGCTTACCTGCAACATGGTTCCCAGCTGGGGCCGCGGATCGCACAGTGCACACGGGCAGCGCTGCGGGGAGAAGGGACCCGTGAGCGACCGTGAGGGCGGCGGCGGGGAAGCCCTGAGCGCGCAGCCCGGCCAGGCGTGGGGCGTCACCCCGCCTGCGCTCCCCGCACCCTGGCCCTCGGGCGTCTGGCCCGGGCATCCGTGCTCCGAACCGCGGCGGGACAACTCCAGGAGGTAGGAAAGCGCACGATGTGAACAACACGGACGCCCGTTACCTGACTCGGGCCCAGCCCAGGCCACTCTCGACCCTGCGGCCTCAGTACGTAGAGAGGAAAGCAGCCAAGCCTCCCAGGAGGACGTGAATCAGGAGAGTAGTGGGACCAGGCCACCCGACTCAAAGAACTACAACTCCCAGAAAGCAGCTGGTCAAAATGGCCACGAGTGGGAGCCGCCAACTACAGCTCCCAGAAGGCACCAGGACAGCGCTCAATTGGCCACTCACTTTGGAAAACTACAACTCCCAGAATTCGCAGCGTGCCCCGCGCCGAGAAATTTGAAAAAGGCTCCATGCGCAAATAACTAAAAATCCCAAAAAGGCCACTTCAACTGCGCCTGGAGACATGGAAAACTCTCCTAGAAAAAATTATCATTCCCTAAGTAGTGTTTGGGGAGTTCAATTATAATTTTGAAGTACAACTGGCGTTAGTAGGACCCTGGGCTTAGACTACAACTCCCAGAGTCCACCGC